ATTCGTCCTGAGATGGGAGGCGGAGTCGGGGTTGTTGGGTCTAGGGCGAGTTTCAGAGGGACTATGGGTCCGGGGTAAGGAGGGCGGTGGTTGTTAAGGCAAGGATGTGTTGTTGGGCGGTGCCGAGGGCAGATCCGATTGTGGCGGGTTGCTGCGCGGCGCTAGGTGGGTAGAGTGTAGAGCGGCGGGGCGGGATTGGGGAGCCGTGGTGGGGAGCTGGGTGCTGGTCGGACATTTTGATAGAGATTTGTTAGGGAAATGGGGTTGGGTTGAGCTTCAGCGTGGGGTTCTAGGTGGTGGATGCTGGGGCTGGGGTTGGAGCGTTGGGCTAGGGTCACGGGTGCTGGGGACTTACGATGGGTAGGGGTGGGCATAAAACTCGAACCGAACAGGTACCGAACCGTCCCGTAATGGTACCGAACCGAATACCGAGTATTTAAACGGTTCTATGGATTTTTATCCCGTACCGAAACCGTACCGTTTGAAACGGGTACGGGACCGGTCCTAAATTTTGAGAACCGAAAAATACCGGACCGAACCGTCCGTAAATAATGAATTTGAATTTTTTATATTTTTTCTATATCAATAGATCTAGACCAACAATTTTATACCACAAGTATGTATTCATGCGTCCCTAAGATATCTAAAATGTGTTGTTTATATATATATTGCTAGTTTTTTTATAGATAATTTATGTTATATTTTGGTATGTATTAAAAGAATATTAAAATTTTAGAAATCATTAATGATTATTTATTTTTAGTAATGTAGTGTGCATGACTTTTTGTTGTATCATGTTTGTGCATTTTTTACAACTTAATTAATATGGTTTAAATCTTAGTTCTCAAGATTCAACTATAAATTAAATTAGAACTACGGAGTAATATTTAACCTAGAACGAAGAAGAAGAACGTTGAAGATTTCTATTATATACAACAATTTGATGATATTCGTTTTTATATTTTCAAATGAACTTAGTAAATTAAAAATGATATTTATCTCGTGCGTCATCGTTTTGCTTTACTTTTTCTTAGTTGTGTTGCACTATTTGTTTATAGGTATGCAATTTCTTGTATTTATTTCAACATTTCATGTGAGTTGGTTGGTGTGATGATATCTACTAATTGCAAGATTTGTTCAAAAATTTTAGCATGTGTTTGACATTGTACCGTACCGTTTTGTACCATTCCGAAACGATATGGTACCGAACGGTTCTATCCTTGGAACCGGACCGTTAAAACCTCACGGACACATTATGGGTTTTACCAATTTACCGGACCGTTTCGGACCGCACCCACCCCTAACGATGGGTGTAACACCCCGGCCTCATAGGCCCCGAGGTAGTTAATTACTTCTAACCTCTAGTACTGTCCTCACTTGTGTGCGCCCTCATAAACTTCCCAGGAGGTCACCCATCCCAAGACTACTCCCGTGCAAGCACACTTAACTTTGGGGTTTTTGGCTAATGAACTCCCTTAAAAGGAGATGCACCTTGTTGGTATGAGTAGTACTATTAATCCATTTAAATTAAATCTCAAGTATTACAATCACCCCCACTTAGGAATGCAACGTCCTCGTTGCGCCCATAAACCAATCTCAATCATATCCCAGAATCTTTTCCCCTAATAAGTGTCCGCTCGATATCCAACGGATCAGCACACTGTCGCAGGGTTGCTCTGATACCATTTGTAACACCCGGGCCCCATAGACCCCGAGGTAGTTAATTCTAACCTCTAGTAGTGTCCTCACAAACCGCCACTAGCCTTTTTCCGCGCACTCGTGTGCGCCCTGAGAAACTTCTCAGGGGGTCACCCATCCCAAGACTACTCACGTGAAAGCACACTTAACTTTGGATTTTTTGGCTAATGAGCCCCCTTAAAAGGAGATGCACCTTGTTGGTATGAGTAGAACTATTATTCCATTTAAATTAAATCGCAAGTATTACAATCACCCCCACTTAGGAACGCAACGTCCTCGTTGCGCCCATAAACCAATCTCAATCATATCCCAGAATCTTTTCCCCTGCTAAGTGCCTGCTCGATATCCAACGGATCAACACACTGTCGCAAGGTTGCTCTGATACCATTTGTAACACCCCGACCCCGTAGACCCTGAGTTAGTTACTTCTAACCTCTAGTACTGTCCTCACAAACCGCAACTAGCCTTTTCCGCGCACTTTGTCCTCACTCGTGTGCGCCTGAGAAACTTCTCAGGAGGTCACCCATCCCAAGACTACTCTCGTGCAAACACACTTAACTTTGGAGTTTTTGGCTAATGAGCTCCTTTAAAAGGAGATGCACCTTGTTGGTATGAGTGGTACTATTAATCCGTTTAAATTAAATCTCAAGTATTACAATTGGGGGGGGGGGGGGGGGGGGGGGGTAGGACGAGTCTCTGAGCAGACAGGTGCGGGTCAGGCGGTGGTGTGGGCTTGGCGGCGCAGTCACTGAGGCGGTGTTACTGTGATCGCGGCGGTGACCAGTGACGGTGGTGGTGTTAGTGACACAGGCGGTGGTGGCGGTGACCGGCGGCAGCGGCAGTGACACGAGGGATATTGATGATAGTGACATGGCGATGGCGGCAGTGACATGAAAATTGGGTAGTGTCATGAATATTTGGTTGTCACTCTATTTATTGGCATTTTTGTCCATATGTAAATGTAGTCACTTTTTTTGGAAATTAGCTTTAATTTAGTAATATTAAGGAAAAAGACCCAAAATAAACCTTAACCAAATGAACCAATTTCAGTTGTTTTCTTAAATTCAGTACAAAGAGCAATTCTTTGTTAGTAAACCCTCCACTTATATCTTTGCAAGCGATCGTGTTTTCTTCCACCATTTTTGTGCGGTTTTCTTCTTCGGGCAGCCCCACAGCACCTATATGATGGAGATCACGAACAAGGCCACCACAGTCGGATCACGGTTGAATGGGGGTGAGGTAGACCTGACGCAAGACAGTTTGGAAAAGTTGATCGGGCAGTGCGACGGTATGGAGATCAGGACTGAGGATAACGAACTGGTGCTCGATGAGGAGGATACTGCGGACCGCATGGAGCAGTCGTTTCTGGGGGATTGTCCCCCTCCCGAGCCAGGTGATGAGATTCTAGAATTTAAGTCAGCAGGTGAGGAGAAGTCTGGTTTGCATGACATTGGCTCAGTTAAGCCCATTACAGGATCAACGAATCTTATTGCTTCTACAAAGGTGGTAGATTCTAAGTCTGGTTCAAAGGCGGAGGACAAACAGAAGACTTTTTCTCATTTTGTTTTATATTTTACCACTGATTGTATTGTCAGCCAAGTGATGAACGTTTTGTTGATTTAATATAATTGTTGGTTTTACGATATAAAAAACAACCTCCACTTACGATACTTTTTTATTTAATCATTCCCTATTACTCTCATGATCTCCTAATAATTGTTTGTCATATTCCATTTAACGTTTTGCATAATAATAACATGGTTTAGAGTTATAATAACAAAATATAAAAATGATACTCCCTCCGTCCCTTAAAACTTTGCCATCTTTCCTTTTTGGGACGTCCCAAAAAACTTTACCACTTTCTCTTTTAATCAATTATTTTGTGATTTCTGTTATTTCTCTCTCCTCTGCACAAACCTCAACCACATAGTTTTTACATTATTATTCTCCGTGCCGGTCAACTTTAACAAAGTTTTAAGGGACAGAGGTAGTATTTATATGAGAAAGCTAAAAGTAATATTAACCAAACGTTGTAATTATATTTAAAAATTGTTTTTATTCAATACATACCAACCACGCATATTAGAAATTGAAATTTGAACACTGAATCTCATTTTTAGAGTTGTATAAAAACAATATCAGGTTATCAATAGTTTTGTGGAAACGAATTGACAGCATGAATCATGCATTTTTTTGGTGTTCTAAAGTTATTGGTATCTGGAAATACTTCATGGATATTTTCCAAATTCCAATCACTTCTTACACAATGCCAATTAGAAATTAAATGTGTTTATCAACTGGTGTTTATTTGCTGGCAAATTTGGAAGGCTTATGCTAATATAGTTTGGGGTAAATCTGAGTCTTTCCCCTCGACAGAGAACCTTATCATTTCAATAAAGCTCTACACTCAATCTTGGATTCAGAGTTTTAAGAATCTGAAGTTTATTTCTATTGATGATATTCTCTATGAGGAGAAACTGGTTCCACCTAATTTCAAGTTTCAAGGTCCAAAGGTTGTGATAGCTAAATGGATTAAGCCTAGAGGGAAGCTAAAATTTAACATTGATGCTTCATACTCACCTGGGAGAGCCGTTGGAGGAGCAATCATGAGGAATGACACTGGTGAGATGTTGTTTGCACTGTGTTTTCCGATAAGGGACGATTCTAGTCTTGAAGCGGAGTTGAGAGCTTTAGTCACAGCTACGAAATGGTCGTTGGACTCTGGCTATGGTGATTTCTTAGTGGTACCTGATGCCTCTAGGGCGGTTGAAATTCTTACGGAGAGGAAGGAAGATAGGTGGTTGTCGTTGTTTCAGGAGATTCATAGTCAGGATTTTCAGACAAAGGTGTCTTTCAGACATGTTTGGCGAGAGAGGAATAGAGCGGCCCACTATATGGCGACTAATGACCCGGCCCAACTAACAGTCTATAATTCAGTTAATTCCTTACCTCTTTTATGTAGAAAAGCTTATTATTTGGATTAAAAAAAAGAATTGATATGTGATAATACACAGTAATAATAATATTAGATTGTAATTAACTTAAATGTTTGGACGAATGTTTTGAACTTCTTTAAAATAAACTATTTTTATATAAAAAGTATAAATACGTAGCATAAAGTTTGTCGACAGAATTTGGACGAATTTTATTTGTGATTATCTATTAGAAGATAAATCAATTTGTATTTGTGATTTTTAATTTGGACGAATTTTATTTGTACTCCTAATTACTCTAAATGCAATATTTTGCACGTATTAAACTAGTCATGTACTCATGTACATGTATTACTTCATGTACCTCATAAAATATATACTTTTTTTTAGAGAAAACGATATACATATTCTTATTTATGTACTGTCCTAATCTTATTAATCGGGCAATTTCCATCACTAATCACTAATATACAAATCTCATTTATTTATAGTTCAATTTGCTTACTTTTGTACATAGCCAAGTATTTCCCTCGTGCCGTATATAGTCGCTCCCTACGGTGGTTCTACCTTTCCCTATCTAACGACGCAAATAAGTTCCCCATTTCAAGAAAAGTCTTCATTTCGCCATTTTTCCCAACCTTGCCTTTCATCTGAGACTCAACATCCTCGACCGCTACCCCCCTTTCATCACCTTCTTCATCTATCTTCCCTTCTAATAAAGATCGGTATCCTACCTTCTCATCTTCGTGGTGGTATATCTTGAAAACCACCAAGTAAAGAGAGACGGCGATAATGGTGACCCCAATAACGTACCAGCTAAACTGGATGTTGACGAGGGATTTGGCGCGAAGGAGAGCTTCTTGGGTATGGCATCTCACCACTTGGTGCCCTTCCTCAGAGTTGATGAAGCAGCCCTTGGGGATGAACTGTGGGGTCCACAGCATGACCCCCATCACTATGAACCAAACCCCTTGGAGCATTATACTGTAGGACCTGACAAAGCTGTTGAAGAAGCTCTTTGGGTAAGGAATGCCCAGCAGAGTGGTGGCTAAGGACAGAAAGATGACAACTTGGAGGAGCCAATGGTACTGCCCTTCCACCCCCATGTGGTCAGTGGAGTGGAGGTGGAAGAGCAGAAGCTGCTGCCCGAAAGCGATTGCCCCGAGAAACTGGGCAAGAGCGTTCCGGGCAAGAGCCGCTGTCTTGTCCAAGATTATGCAGAAGACAGCGTAGACGAGGAACGTAAATGAGATGTTTGAGTGCTCGAAGTTGTGGAGGTGGTCGGATGGGATGGTCCCATCTGTGTCCAAAGGTTGGTGCTTTTTAGGACCTATGAAAAGCTCCATGGATATGGAGGCTATGCAAGCACCCATGATGAAGAATAGCTCTAAATGTCTGATTCTTGAAGTTGGAAACCATGGGAGAGAGGTGAAGACCCTTGGGCTTGTAGCATGGATCCTTATGTTGTTCACCAGGTGCCACAGCCCAATCATAAAGAACCCAAAACCAGGTGCCACATGCCCCACCAATGTACCCATTTCAGGCCCTCTTCAATTCTGCCTTTTCTTTATTATGGCCTAGCTAGGCTTGTCTGTCTTGAGAGAATTGAACTAGAAAGAGAACAATACAAGAATTGAGTTTATTAAGATGTGTGAGATGGTGACAATGGTTGGGAAGGGGATTTATATAAAGATTTTGAGCTGTAAATGAAGGATGGGAACCATATATATATGATGGTAGTCTTAGGTTCCGGAGGCTTCTGTCACGGAGGGAGTTGAAAGTTTGAATATTTGGGCGGCCTTGAATTGGTGCTTGTCTAATTAAACTAGTGTTTGATGACTTTCCTAGAAAGGTTTGAATGAAAGTTCAATATTATATACTAATATTACTCTTAAATAAAATACCGAATGTATTGGTGTCAAAAAAACAAAATATTGGGTACATTAGTTATGGTTCACCAAATATATACTCCACTTCCTAATTTCTTCAAAATGACCCTATAAATTTATTTATTCATATTAAGAAAAATTAAAAGGTAATCATTAAATTATGTCATTTGTTCTAGAACTGATTGATGGAGTATTATTATACTAGGTAGATGAATTGAGTCGCAATAATTTTTATAAAGTCATTATTGTTATCCCTATACTTTGGGCTTTGATATGAATATATGATGACTACAGAATCTAAGGATATTTTATAATAATAAATAGAGTTTATTGCCTCCCGTAGGATTAAATTAGTGTTCAAATTCTGAAATAGGAGTACTAATTTTCCCCTAAATAGGACAATTATTCCAAAATTACCCTCCTACGTGCATATTTCTCACCCGCTCAAACCTTTCCCTTTTCAACGCATCATCGATTCTAACATCTCTTCTTGCCTGGTAGGTTATGTTCTCTTCTCCAATTCTTAAACTCTCCCCCCACGCCACTTATCTTTTCCAATCTGCTCATATTGCAAGATGTTGAGTTTTCTTCTCCTCTCATCTTCTTCCATTGGAAATCTGCAACAACGAGGTCTTCTGATGCGGCGAGCGGCGGCAGAGAGCGGCGCGGTGGCGAGCATCGGCAAGCAGGGGCGAGCAGTGAGGGGGAGTACACTTTTGATATAAATTGGCATTCTTAGAAAAAATATTGCATTTTTTTATGGTCATCGACTATGACAGTTCTGTGAGGCGGCATAGGCGACGGAAGAGGCTGCCATTTGTTTCAGATTTTCTCCTATGGTGCTTCAAATTGTCAAATTTTACCTGAAAATGCCATCAAAATGGCATTCTTACACTTCAAAAAGTTTCGTGATTTCTTTTGAAAATGCCATTACAATGACATTCATGATTTATTTTGGCATTCAGAAAACAATGTTGGCATTAGCGGCGGGGTTGGCTGGACCTGCAGTAGCGGCAGCCGGACATTCAACGACGGCAGTCGGATTTACAAGGTTGGCGGCTGGTGACGGCCAGATCTGGTTAGATCTACGACGGAGATAGCCAGATCTGCACAAAAAATGGCCAGATATGCACAAAAAAACGACCAGATCTGTATCGGCGGCTGCCAGATCCGTAGAGGAGGCGTCCTATTCTAAGGCGGTGGTGACCGACAGCGGCAGCGACCGGCGACAGTTTGAGTTCCGTCAGCAGCAGTCTGTTTTCCAAGCTCCAGGGGTGTTTATGTCTAACTACAAATATTAACTCCTATTTGAGGAATTTTTAGACTATAGTCCTATTTTGTCAATTAAAAATTGATTTACTCCTATTTAGGTCAATATCTCTAATAAATATACTCCGTATTCATTATATTCAAACTCTGAATCAAAAGGGCGCGTAGGGCTCGACATATGTCGGTCTAGACTAAACTAGGACAGATATGGAAGCTTGTACCATAAGACCGGTTGTACAGTGCAAGTCATATAGTCGGTGGCAATTTTGTAATTTTGATGAAAACACGACTTATCATGAATGAGCATTCATGCAATTTTGGAGAGCATCAAATCCGTTCTTTTGAGTATTAGAAACCTAAGAATGAGTATTAGTGTAGTTCTTTGTTTTATATCGTCTAATTAACTTTCTTTTTTACTAGTATTATTTTTTTGTTTACAAAAAAAAATCTTAAATCATGTCTATAATCAATTCCAATTAGTTTCAATATGTGAATATAATGAGCATAAAGCAGTACCAAATGAGCATACATAACTTACAAAATAAGTATCAAAAAATTCAAAAGCTCATTCAATGTGGGCGTTATATTCATTTGAGTTTAACAAAAAAAACTCATTACTAATGTGCTCAATATTCATTTGAGTATGTTCATTTCTTTTAGTTAAATATTAATCTCATTTGAGATCAATAACACCAAGGATTGCTCAGCAACGAAGTAGACTCCCCTTGTCTACGAAAACACAAGCTCAAAAAACAAAACTACGTCAGAGAGAGAGAGAGAGAGAGAGAGAGAGAGAGAGAGAGAGAGAAGGCAATGGGTCGGGGTGGGGCGGGTACTGCAAGATCCGGATCCGCCCCATGACTTGACAGGGCGAGTCCGCCCCGCCCCATGACCTGCACGCGTCCAAACTTGTTGACTCATGACCCGCCCCGCTCCGCTGTAACCTAATTAGCTAGCATGTATTTTTATTTGTGAGAAGTTGTTACCAATTGAATCTACATAAAGTTTATCTTTAAATAGTTATTAAAAATTAATATAATAAATCAAATTCACGATACGCTAGAAATTTCAAAAGTTAAGGAAAAATCACTTAGGCTTGAATAGTTAATCTATTTAATTATATTAATACTTGAATATATGTATTAAAATGCTATATATAAAGAAAAATTGATATATATATATATATATATATATATATATTATAAGATCAAAAAATTTATGATTTATTGTATACACACATATGTATGTTGAAGTATATTTGTAGTTTTTTTGTTTTAAAACCTGGTAGGTAAACCACCAAAATCAGTGGGGTAAATGTCGGGGAACACTTACCAAATTTTATAGCCACTCACAAAGCAAAATACACATGGGGGCTTAATACCTAACCCACAACAAAATGAGATTAAATTACATAAGGAATAGATAAGGAATCCATAACAATAGCTCCCTTAAGCTGCTGAGGCAATTCTTCCCCTTTCTTCCAATGAAAAGCCTTTTGGAGGCCCAAACGAGCCACTAAAACAGCTGCCTTATTCACTTGGGCTGGAATTTCCGAAAAGTAAAGCAGCCCAAAAAGATTATATCCGTCCAACCTCCCTCATTCTAGAAAAATCTGATTCAATCTCCACTTTAGGAAAGCGTAGAGACATCAACCAGTCCACCGCCCTCTCTAACGCTTCCTCTTCCAAATTGGCCGAGCCACTCAACGGAAATCCCTTCGCTGCCACTGCTTCACCTTCATGGTCACGAAGAAAATAGCTGGCTGAAATCTGGCCCGATCCCTAAACACCGCCCAGTTAAGCTTCACGTGGAAAGCCTGAGGCTTCACCCACCGGAAAATCTGAGGCCTCCTTCTCTGAAAAGAGCTAGGTAAAATCCCTAGATAACATGCCCTTTTATGTTATCATTTGCATAACACCAAGATAACATGTGTCCGCAGGTCGCCCGCGCAGGGGTGCAAATTTTCGATTTTGAACTGAAAGCCGAAATCTCATGTGCGCGAGAGCTCCCCTCTTCTCCTTCACCTTTTACTACTAAAGAAGGAGTGGTACCTATTTATATGCTCAAAAATTTCCAAGGAGTTTAGGTGTGGGATTTCTAAAAAGATTCTTTTTTCCCTACACTTGAGTAAGTACATTTTTTTAAAACTCTCACTTCAAGAGCTAATTTTGAGCCCATTTCAATTTTTGAGCTCAAATCTTCAACACCAAAGGTCAACCTTACAATCAAAGCTTTCAAGAGTCAACCTTGAGATTAAAAAAAATATTATTTTAAAAAAAAATATCTCAAGGTTAAGACTATTTTTCTCAAGGACCAAAGCTACTTTTCAAGGTCCAAAAAATTGCAGAAACTTCAAACAAACTCATGTCTACGGTCAACATTCAACAATCAATAGCAATGGACGCTATATCTCCTTGTTCATGTACTTATCGAACTCATTTCTCAAAAGATAAGGACAAAATCATCAAGGAATTGGAAGAGAGATTAGCAAATAATCACAATATTCTACTGAAGCAGCTAGATAAATCCACCTCACTGAGCATACAATTGGACAACTCAAAAGAAGATGTCAAGAAAATAACTTTGGAAATGGAAGAGCTAACGCTCAAGATACCTGATCTAACTTTTAGATTGCAAGAAACTGAGGCAGAGCGAAACACTGAAAAAGCAAATAAACATTTCCTCAATAATAAAAAACGTGCTCTCTATCGTAAAATCAAAGAGTTAGAAGACTTAATTGCTACAAAAAGGCAAACTGAACAAACAATCTTCTTGAACCAACCTAAGGACACCCGTTACTATAATTCTACAGAAGGACTCGGTCTAACTAACCCATGTAATTTGAAGAAGGTGAACTTTGCTCAACTGTATGACATCAATTACATGGGTCTTGGACTGACTAAGTTGATTTCTTTCATCAGTGACGAGCACTTTGTCACGGTGCGTCAAAATAATTCGATACTAACACTTATACGTAGTATAGGTGAAGTAGAGTTCGTATCCACATGGAAAGGAATAATTCTCTTTTTATGAAACTTAGTAAATGAAGGGGGGATTTGGATTGAGTGATTTAATTTGATTAAAAACTAAGATGAACGACTTATATGAGATTTAATTCAAAGATAAAAAGGACTTGGCATTGCTACTCTCCACTTGTTGATATATTTTAGTCGATCATTGTTATATCTATAACTTATTCCCTCTCGAATACTCAATCGGGGAGTATATCCACTTCATCGAGGGTAGTTATTAACAACGACCGTTCATTAATAACACTTACTATTAATCAAATATAGAACAACGCCTTATACCGATTTAATAGTAGCATTTAATCTTTCTAACTCCTTGATGAAATCAATTGAGATTGATAACCTCAACACAACGGTTTCGGTTTAACCAACAAAATTAATTCCTCTTAAGTTTATTAACCACAACCGTGCATTAATAAACCGAAGTTACTCACTTGTGAAACCGATGGTTATTCGTTGATCGTTTCTAGTAATAATTAATACTCCCTCCGTCCCGTTG